GTATTGTGCTTATAGCAGGGATACTTTTGGAGAGCAAGAGCAGCTGTTTTCTTTTCTCACCTTAAGCCAAGAAAACTTTGTACTGCAGACTTTTTCCTGATTCTAATATGTTCTCTTTCATGGTGCAGATATGCTGTGTCTTGCATGTAACTTATTTAAGATTTAATGGCTGAAATCACATTGTCGGGGCTTCCTTTGAGTCATCATCTTCATAGATGTTACATGAAAGTTATTACTGGACTTTGTGTTATTGTGCTTGAACTGGGGAACAAACAAAACCCCCATAACTGATTAAAGTACATTAATGTGTTCTAAATACTGTCCACAGCTAAAGGGAGGCAGAACCATGCTCAGTAACAATAAAATGCTCTTGAACTGCACTAGGCTGTTTTTCTTTCTGCTGGAAGGTGCAGGGTGGAGTTTGTTTTTTGTCAAAATGACATCTGCTGAGCTGACTGTTTACCCTTGCATATCTGTGAGATTCCAAAATGTTTTTGAGAGGCAAACTGTTAATGACTGAATCGTTTTCAGTTACATTAGATTGTTTTCCTCCCCTTCCCCATCTTTTCTTCTAGGTTGATTTATATCAGTTACAAGTAAACACACTTCGAAGGTACAAAAGACACTTCAAGCTACAGACCAGACCGGGACTTAACAAAGCACAGCTTGTTGAAGTATGTATGAGTGTTTTTCCATAATAGAAAATGCAACTTGCTATGGCATGTGGTTTTCTATACGATTTGATCCTTGCATAAAGTGCCTATATAATCTGGATTTTAGGAGAACAAAAGGGAGCTGCTTATCTAGCTTCCTTCATTGGCTGTAGCTCCTGAGCCAAGTAAATAAAAAATAGAAGCTCTTTCCCTGAGGAGGAACTCTTTAACTTCCAAAAGGAGTGTTTGCTGCTTAAAACCACAGTGTTGAGTTGAAACAGGAAGACGATGTGCATCCTTCTGAATATCATAGAATTGTTGATTTATTATGTCTGTACATCAATCACAGCTTTACCTGAAATGCCCTGCTGAAAAGAACTAGAAACTGAGAGGTGGCAGTGAAGTTTTTGTAAGGTTCAGACTTTGCTTTAAAAAGCTAGTTACTGCAACCATTGGTGTTTCTGTACATGTAAAGTATGGAAACCTGAAAAAACATGCTTCTCTTGATAATTCTGTTAAAACCACTGGGGTCTGCTCTCAGAAAAATGGATTTTTATGAAATTAGGGTTTTTCTTACCAGTATTTCTAAAAATGCTGAAGCTGTGTGTGAGTAAAGCTGTACATAAGCATCTTTGCTTCATGTGAGTGCAATTTTAAAGGAATTCTTTTGTGCTGCAGAGATGCAGTCACAGCATGTTCGTGTAAGTACGTGGGAAAGCTGGTGATCTTCTCTTAACAGGGAAGCATAGCTACTGTTTTTTTCACTTCTGTGCAGTGATACACTCAGATGTGTTTAAGTGCAGACACACTGTTCATCTCTCCCTTAATCTATTTGGATTAAAAGTAAGGTTTTTAGCTGTATGGGCAGTCTCAAGGCTGAGCTGTAAAAGAATAGTGCTACTGCCACTGTGTGTAAGAATGCAGCATCAGTCTTCAGTTTTCCTGAAAGTAGGTTAAGGTGCAGCTAGCTCTTGAATTAGCAAGACTGTGAACTGAAAAAGCACAGGCAGTTTTTGTTCTGCAAAACTGTGTTGTTTCTGAGAGTCTGCTTTAGATACATCTCATGATGCAATCTCATGATTGCACTAGTTTATTCTTGTGCTACGTGGTGTGCATGGGCAAAGCTCTTTCTGTCACATGCTTGATTTGACTGACCTGCAGGTGTTTGTGAACCATAGCCACAGGACTTCCTTAGTATACAGTATGTGTGATTCCTTGTAACCTGTCCTAACATACAAGAGACACTGCTCTAGCTGTTACTTAAAGTCCACTTCAAAGGACGCTGTCAGACTGCTTCTCTCTGGATGTTTTTGGGGGTAGAGTTGAGAGGGCGTCCTAACTTTTTAATTAGGCTAAACGCATCTTATATCCTATGGTAGTTAAATGAGTAGTCCAGTGTTTCTCACTTGTTAATTTTAGTCTACCAGCCTGGCAAAAAGCCAGAGAATGGACTCAAACTGGTGTAATATTTTGCATAATTTCTTTTAAAGCTGATGTTCATTTTGATGAAGGAAAAGACTTCTGAAATGACAGAATTGATTCAAGAAGTGTTTACAGATTGTTATATTTTAGTGGTTACAGCACAGTGAATTTTCACTGAAAGCTCTGTTTGAAGAGCTGAATGTTCAATTATAATTCTCGAATATTCTTGTATTAGATGTTCTGTATGTGATTTGATGCAGACACAGACCACCCCCTAACCTGAGTGAGCAGTAGTGTCTCATATCTGTGCTGTCACTGCCAATATTCTATGGTCATTACTCGCTTTGTATTCAAACTTTAACTAAACCAATTTTATGATAGTCCCATTCTTATTTTGATATGTTTGGGGTTTTTTTCCTGGAAAGTTTCAGGACTTTTTACTTTGGAAATTAGTGTATAGGCTGCTAGTTCTCAATATCTAGTTCTCAATAAAATGGTTCCTGTTTACCTTTTTTTATGAATTTTAAAGACTTTTGAGGAAAGGCAGCTTTTCCCTTTTTTGCAAGCTTCTTGATTAGTCTTTCAAACTTTTACGTAATACATTTAAATCTGAATCGTCAGTTTCTGTATATAACCTGTATATAAGTGGTTATTTAATTTCCTTGCATTCTTCCTTTATAGATAATTGGCGGCCATTTTAGGACAATTCCAGTGAATGAAAAGGACACCTTAACATACTTCATCTACTCGGTGAAGAATGACAAGAACAAACCAGATCTAAAGATGGATAGCGGGGTTCATTAGGCGGAAAAGGTTGGGACTCAGAGACTCAGGCCGCAAATCAAAAGACTGAGGTTTTGTTGATATGCAGAAGCTTTCTTTGTAATTTTTTTCTCCTGAGAACAATTGTCTCTGTTTTATTTTTCATAACCTTGCTGATTTGTTTGAAAACCATCTCTTATGAAACAAATTTCCTCAGCAAAAGTATTTTAAATAAATATCACAGGTATTGTTGCTCGACTGGGTGTGTCTGTAACTTTAGTGAGTTGGACTTGATGATCCTGATGGGTCCCTTCCAGCTCAGCATATGCTATGATACTTGTATCTAATAGTTAAGCTTTGAATTATGTAATAATATTAAAATATTTTTCAATGAAAGTGTGCCAAGGATATATTTATGAATGTACTTAAAGTTCTCATAATGCAATGCCTTTAATTTAAAAAAAAGCTGTAGCAGACCTGGCAATAGGTTCTTTTTCGTAAGGTAAAAGGCTTTAAGTGACAGTTCCAGTAGTTAGCTGGGCAGAAATGGCTGAATAACACTTTCTTTTCCCCTTTGGAAACATGAATTGATGGAAGTTTTTCTGATTTGTTTATTCACTTTGTCCATGCTGAGATACCTGCTTCCCAGCTCTGAGGCCTTCCTACTCCTATGTTAAAGTGGAAAAAAATGCTGTTCTCAAATTTCAAAGCTGTAAGTACGGATGAAGAGACTGCTGCAGCTTACTGTGCTGAGAAATCCTTCAACTCAGTAAGAAATCCTTTAGCTGCTGACTTTTCCATTCATCTACATGGACTGCTGCTAAGAACTTAATTGGAGAATGAGAGTCAGAGTCTGTGCGGGGTCAATACAGTATCTTCTAATAGGCATACTGTTTCTTTTTCATTGCATGCATCAGCTCAGGCTTGTTTAAAAAGAATGACAAACCCTCACAATAAAACCAAAACTTCTGGTAACATATGAGGAAAAATATCCAGCAATACTTATGCTTTCAATTGAGTGTCTTAGTAAAGTCTGATGTTGAAGATGGTATTACAAATGACTTCTTGTATTATCCTTTTAACTATTGTGCCAGTCCAAATGTGTGGTGTATGTGATTTCTTTCTGCTTTAAGCTGTGCACATAGGTTGAAGAAAAAGCTGAGGGAAAATAGTTTTCATCTTAAAGCAGAGGAGAACACAGCTTCAGCTTGTTCAGTAAGCATTAAATTGCAACTCCTAACCTTATCAGATGTTTATAAGCTTTTTCTTAATTTGGGAAAAATGAAAAAGCAGTATGTCCATGGTCTAATCTGCTCGATACTTGTGAGGTTTTTTTTGAAAATTACTACTTTTCTGGCATCACTGCAACTAAGATCCTTTACTTTGCTTTTTTTGACCTGTGATGCTTGCATAGAACTGAATGATGATAAACCCTAATCTCAAACTGACTGTCTTCCCAGTATCTCTCAGTGGTGTGATTTTTTCGTTGTACTGTTTTATGTATTTCCACAATACAGTTCTGCAATGCTGGCCTAAGTTCAAGATGGTTAGTGATATCTAGCTAGTGACAGCTAAAATTGGTGCTCCTTTGAAGATAATGTTTTCATGCCTGTTTCACTACAGGAACTGTGAATTTGTTTCCTAAATATCCTTTGCACAAATTCAGCTTCTTATCTTCAAAGTGCAAGTTGCACAAACAGCCATGGAACCTAGTCATGGATAGGACATCTGAATGGTAAAGACTTTTTCTCTGTGCATGATGGGGTTGAATGTTCTCAACTAGGCCTGGCAGGACCTAGGTGAGACCTGGCAGGACCTAGAAGAAGCTGTGTGAGGGAAGGAGAGACACAAAAACAAGTTTCTCTGGGAAATCAGTGTTAAAGTAGTAACTTAAGTGACCCTGTCCTGCTGCATGTGTAAAGTGGCAGAACTTTGTTCAGTGGATTATGGATTTTTCAGGAGTGGTGGAAAGAAGGTAACTAAAAGCCACCAACTTTAGTAGCCAAATTTGCATTTGCCTTAATTTTTTCTTGCCGCCGCTGCTTTGGAAAGCTGTGAATGCCAGGCATATGCAACATGACTCTTGTAGAGACTAAATGGCACAAACAACAGAAGTTACATACCCTAGAAGCTTATAGAGGACTTTGAACAAGAGCAGTTACCCTATGCTTTGTTAGCAGAGCTCTGATATCAGATATTTTCACTGTGTTGCCAGATTTATGGGGTTTATTTTACTCTTAATTTGGTTGGAAGCCCAGATGACTCAGGAATAATTACACAAACAAAGCTTTAAAAGCCCAGTGACACAAACAGTTTAACAGTCAGTAGTGCAAAAATAGTACACACAGATTTACTTGAGACATTTATTATTGGCAGTCTATAATCACCGCCCTCAGTATCCAACCCTTGTTTGCTAATAGGAAGAAAAACAGTCATCCTGATATTCACATCCTGGCATGTGAAGTAGCCTGGTAAACTAGTGGTAGCAGTTTGATCTAATGTGTAAGATTACTAAGTGAATAATGCACTTTTTGAGTGGAGATGACTGAGTAGTTGCTTCAGTACTGCATACCTTCCACATCACTGACTTGATACCTAAAGAGTCTTTGTGTAAGGCAGCAAACCAGGTTTACTACCTGTAAACGTGGCTTGTTCAGGTGGCTTTCCTTAAACTTATACAGTCCCACTTATACATACTCAACACTTGCCAGAACAGATTGCAGTATAAGTGAAAAACAGCCAAAAAAATTGTCTCTTTCTGTCTATTGCCTAGATATCTCTTAAATGTTAAGATGATTAGCTCTATGTCTTCTCCTCTAGCTATTTCCTTACAGGGCTAGCCTAAAAATAAAAAGCCAGCATTTTAACTTAATTCTGGGGTATTGTATTTCAAATAAGACTTGTTTAAAAAAAATGTACTGTTCTAGTATTGTAAATGTTCAGTGTTAAGATTAAATAATTTAAGGTTTTACAGATCGCACAGTTAAGGCAGGTGACCAGTTACACTTAATTAAGACCTAAGACCATTTAATACTATTAATGTCAGTTTTGACTTTTTTTATTCCAGTGGAATGTTTTCAGATATGAAAATACATGGCTTTTGTATGTGTATATATTTTAAGATGCCTAAATAGAATGTGGGAACCTGTCTGCAAAAGTACCAGGGACTGAGTAGCTTCAGCTTGAAAAAGCTTTGAATGTGTGATGGCAATAATGTAGTAGGAAGCTGCACTGCCATAGGTTGCTGTGAGAGTCATGTTCCTAATGACGTGAAGGCTTAGGCTTGAAGTTTCTTCATCCAGACTAGTTGAGAATATTGTGCTGAGACAGAAGAGTTGCACTTTTTGCTGGGGTATGCATATTAATATGCATTAAGAGCTTGTACAATCTCTTAAACCGTTGGAAATTAGGTCAGCTACCAAATTTGAAAGAACTTCTTACGTGCTTGATATTCCATAAAGGTGTAGAAAGGAAATTTTTCTACAGTGTAAAATGAGGCACCGTTTTGTGGTTAGACTGTGGTGGTTTTGTATTTGCCCTTGAAAGCATTATTACACAATTGTAGAATGATGTCTGTTATCTTCACCTGCAGACTTGAATCACTGACTGTTGCAGGGGATCACAAAAGATATCTTTGGTCCAAAGAAAATATCCCTGAAAGATATGATCAGATATTTAATTAGCCCATTGGTTTATCAGAGCTTTAACATGACATACATTTCCCATTGTGGATATTTTTTAGTACATGTTGTGGTATGTGTGGGATTACTATGTGTGTGGGAATGTCCTTCCAGCAATGCAAATGCAACTGCAGATCTGAATGAAGATACTACCTTTCTACCTCTGCTGACCTGGTTTAGAAGCGGTGACAAAACTGACTAGATTGCCAGAACTCCACCCTCGTATTTTAGCTTTGAGAAAATAAACTTACCAAATAGATTATATTATCAAAATATAATGCATGCATACTGGTTTAGTGCGGTTTGTCCCTAGAACAGACATGCAAAGAAGGTCTTATGTAGCTCAGGATGGTGGAAGGAATACTTTTTTAGGTATTTTTTTAGTCTGCTCAAAGCTCAGAGGTTGAAGCTAAAAACTCCCAGTGTGCTTCACAGTGAGGACACCATATCTGATTTTAGGGAAAGTGAAAGATGGAAAAACTTATTGAAACCCTGCTCTCAGTCTGAATGCGAGATTTTTAACTTTAGAAGTCTTTCGCACTTGGTTCAACTTGTCTCCCCTACAAGAGCGTTGAAAACTTACCCATTATTGGATTTTCAGGGAGTGTTAAGAGAAGCAAATATTAAAAATAGTTTTTGCTTGCCTATATAATACCATCACATTTTAGTGTCTCTGAAGTATTAATAAGTTTTGAACTGTTGTTATTTCTAATCCAGATGTACTGAAGAAAAGATGTTGCTGAAAAGCTGAATGAAATAATACCTCTTAATACGTTTTATTACTTGAAGCACGTATGGGCTGGTGGTGGGTTTTTTAAGTCAGTTATGTTTTTTCTGTTTAACAACAACAAAATGCTCTTGTTCAGTGAGAACGTCACAGTTAAGCTTTGTCAGCAGTACCAGAAAACCAAGGAAATGCAGATGTTCTGGGGCTAAATCTTTTCCCTGCCTTACAGGTATTTGTGAACCTCTGTTTCCCCCATCTGATTTCCTGCTGTTAAACAGCTATCTTTACAGAATCATTTATTCAACTGACATATGTACATATACCTTAGAATATCAATACTGTTCTTTTCTGTAGAACAGAAGTCAAATAGTTTTGATTGTGGTCTGAAAACATCTTCATTGCAAAATGCTGTGGATAAGGATTTCATGTAGTTGTACTTAGTTTGGATCAAACAGGAGTTGAAAGTTGGGTGATTTAAATGCTGAATTCCCCAGTACTAGGACAGGAAGGTTTACAAAATATGCTAAACAAGTCCTATGTGAGCCCCTGAAAACCAAAACCTGAGATACTGACAGCATATCAGATAATTGGCTGTATCTTAATATCATTTCAAGCCATCTGAAGTGATTAATTTCTTTAAAGTGGTAGCTTATTCCACCTGTGGAAACTGTAAAATGATGGAAATATAATGAGCAGTTGTAAAAAAAATGTATGAGTTTACATGAAATGAGTATGGTCTTACTTTGGGCAGCAGAGCAATTCATTCAAGTTGCAGTAACAGATCACCTCACAGCCCTTCCCTTCCCAAAAGTGATCTTGCAGAGTGTCATCAATTTGTCGAAGGTTCTCCATGCCTTCGGGGATGTTGTGACAGTTGTGGTCTTTGAGGGCCCTCTTGTAACAAGAAGGACGGTGGGAAGGCACCGTGAGGGTATCCAGGAGGGTGCTCAGCAGAAGCAGCGCCGAGAACATCTTCATTTTTGCAGCTTCCCACAGCAGGGTGCTAAGGAGAAATGAGGTACGTGACACAGGTATTGCAGCTGAACAGACCTCTCTCCTCAGTTTGCTTCCTTACTTACATTTTTTTCTTTTTTTCCCTGTGAAGTTTTGGAGGATTGAGCATGAGTTCTGGAAAGTGTTTTCTCCTAGGAGGTAAATAATATTGCAGGAGAATTGATATTCATTACTTTCTGTACAACCTTGGAAATCCTTTCATCAGGAATTGAAGCTTCTGATGCTGGCAATTTTGTTGTTTCTTTGGCCTCTCACCTTGAGAAAATTGCTTTGAGCTGGCTGCATTTTCTCAGTGGTGTGACTGTGTTGATTGCTGCCAAACCAGGGGAAAATGTCTGGGTGTGTGTCCTTGCCTTCCTGGCCATTTTACCTGTCAAAACAGGAGTCACTCACATAAAATTAATAGTATCCTTCCCCATCGAAGTTGTGGAAAAACTGCTGGCTGATTGAATCCTCTGTTATAGGCTGCTTGAAAAACTGAAGCATTATACAGCTGAGAAAGCTGAAGCTCTCTGCAGTGGTGCCAAGTGCCACTGTCCTGGACTGCAGATTTGGGTATGATACTGCATTACGGAGAATTTTTTTTTAATTGGTTTTTTTTTTTAGTATTGCAGACTGCTTAGTTGAGCCTTGCTACTGCAGGCCATTATGGCTTAATTGGCTTTTTAAAAGATGGGATAAATTATCCCTTGCAAAACTCTCCTGCTGGTGACTAGGATTTCCATCGTCTTGTTTAACACTAGTTCTGCTGTTCTTAGCTGCTTTGCACAGAGTTTGACCATGCCACAAAGCTTTGGATAAGATCCTTGAACTTGGCATTCACTTTTAAATTAACATTTTGAACCATGTTTCAACCTAGACTTTATTGTATTAGGAGAGAGAGTGGGTGTTATACCTTTCCTCATGCTTGAACAAAAGGGATCTGATATCTTACTGAATTTAGATGGGAATTCTGCTCTGAGAACTAAAGCAATGACCAGCTCTGCCGAGCACTCCCTGTGTGCTTGTTACTGTACTTGCGTTGGCCTCAAGGAAGCCTTTGCCATCCTTCATCCTGTTGGCACTTCAGAGTTGATCCCCTGACATGCTGGCATTATGGGCCAACCCTAGTCTTTCTTATGGGGCTGCAGATTAGAATGCTGTAGGCTAAGCCAAAAATAACAAGGCGTAAGGCAATGTCTGATCAAAGACTATCAAAGGCCATGTTAAGATGGCAGAGCTATTATCTGGTTAAGGTAAAAAATGAGGTATGCCAGCTATAGAAGTCAATTAATAGAGTCCTATATGAGTTATTCTGTGAAAATCTTGAGATCACCCTTGAAAAACAAACCATAAACTTTGAAATCTATAATTTACAGTATTTTATAGTAATTTTTCTTGGATAGTTATCTTGGCACCATAGCTGTCTGACTTATCTTCCATTTCTTCAACTAATGAATAACATGCCAGGGACTATTAGAAAATCTGGGAATTTAGATTCATATTAGGGATGACACCTCAATGCTCTTTGGTTTTGTTTTAATATTAAATTTGGGGGGTTTATAAACATTGGTATTTATATTTAGACTTGGTTTTTTTGAACACCAGTAGCCAAATAAAATATTAAAAAGTGACCTATATACTAAAGAACATGGCTGAAGTTAAAATAAGCTCTTGTGTATTTTTTTAACTTCTGTTGTAGAAGCAAAATTCATGGAATAATTCCTTTTAGTTTCCAACTTGTATGGGAACTCTTGACTAGAAGACTCCTATAAACGATCAGTAGTGGAACCTTGGGGATCATGGTATCTTGCTCCTGTGTATTTTTTTTTGTTATTATTATTTCTAATCATTCAGGTGATCTTCCCCTACCTGGAGTTCTGCTGGAATGCTCATTTGAATCTGTTGCCGGCTGCCTGTCTCCTCAAAATTTGGAGGAATTCACTCTGTCCTGAGAATGGGCAGATTCTTTACTGTCAAAATGCTGGATTCAAAAATCATGACCTACAGTTTAAGGTGATTCTGTAACTCAGTATTTGCCTTGAAATATAAGAAAATATTGCTGTAGTGCATCATCAAGAGTGAGTGTCAAAATCAGTATTAGCAAAGTCAACATGCAGGAGAGCAATGGATAGAACAGCTTTTCTGACAGGTTACCTATGCACCTTACCAGTGTTCAGCACTGTTACTATTCAGAAAAAAATATTTATTATAATTTTGTTTCTGCTTAAATATTTCCTCTGGGGTTTTTTGCAGATCACATAACCACATGGAAATTTTTAGTCGAAAGACCTATCCTCAAAAGTCTGTTTCTTTCCTGAGAACGGTCCCTATTTGCAGATGAAAGATTGCCAAGGATCTGAAGTGTTTCATCAGCTCCCTGCACAGGATCAATGCTGGTAAACTCAGCAGACCTTTCAGATGCAGCATCTCTGTCTGATAAACTGCTGCAACTTCTCTTTCTGAACATGGTTGTGCAGATGTTGGAGTGTCACTGATTGCCTAGGTAAAGAACAGAGCTAGTATGTGTGTATTTATTTCAAAATGGGTGTCCAAGACCTTATCTGCTTTTTCATACCACAGAAGACAGTCTTTTCTCATAAAACAAGTCAGGAAAATGTGAACAAAACCAATCACTAAGGTGACCAAAAGACTCATTGTTAGCAAGCATTCTCTTATATTTCTTTATTTTATAAAACTTTCTGTCAAGACAGCAATGCCATTCGTGCAAAGCCTGACCAGGTTACTCTATCAAGATTGTATAATTTCAAATTCTAGCAGGAGTAAACCATCTGAAAATACTGAAAATGAACTTGCATTTACGTAAGTTCTTTTCAGTTAATTATTTTGGTTATTTTGACATCAGGTAAGTAAAATTTGAGACTAAATGCAGCTGGGAGTACAAGTACTCTGAAATAGTTTGGAGCTTTTTGTAAAGGAAAAGGGTTAGTTTGGGAATATGCCTGGTGAGTTGGGAATCAATGCTGTCCCTACTTGTTCAGCTGAGAGCATTTGAATTATCCTGCCAGGCAATTTGGCGTCATCTAATCTTTGGTTCTGCTAGATGCAGAGGTAGTCAGAAGAGACCAAAGAGAAAACCCCAAGTTTCAGCCTGCATGTCCAAGAACAACAGGGTAATAGTTCAGTAGGAGCTCAGGTGTTAGAAATAGGGAAAAGAGAAGTGGCACAAAATGTGTATTTTGGCACCTCTAGAGATCCTCCATGTTTGGAAAAATACAAATATTTACAAGTTGGTCTATCAACCATTAAATATACCCTTCATTAAATATACCCTTCTTATATCCTTAAGCAGGCTGTGTCTCTAGTTGCTTAATGTTGAAAACAAGAAATACAGTAATTGCTACACTTTTGGGGTATTATCTTTTCCATTCTGTCCAGTGGCATGTGCCAGGTTAACAAGTTGCACTTAAGAAGCAAGTATATATTAAATTTGTTTCCTTTTAATGTTTTGAGTTCAAGAGCTAAAAACATTTATTGATAATAAAATGTATCTTATTGTTTTGTCAAGTTTCCCTTTCAGAAACACTTATAAAATGCTAAGTATTTAATATTTAGGTGTGTCAGTGCATGATAGTTAGATTTATTAGTGCATTCCTAAGAAATCATTACATAAGAGATGCATAACTGATAATATAGTGAAGAATCTTTTCCATTAAAAAAAAATCCTTCAAATCTATTTTGTTTGAACTGTTGGTGCACTGTAAGGACAGTATCTATGCCACTGAGGATGAATTCCGTGAATTACTGCTTTGTAATTATCATCAATACCATGATTCTTTCCAGAAACTGAGTTATCATTAAACCCCATTTATTTTTCTTTGAGAAAGCAATTCATTGTAAACACACCCCTTTCCATACTCACCAATTTTGCAACATTGAGCACTGGAAGGCAATATAGTATGTTTAATGACCTCAGATGTTAATATGTAGCATCCAACTTTGAAAAAAAGCAAGATAGTAAAAGAATTATTTTGAGCTGGATCCTAGCCATGTATCTGTCTTAAATTGCACCTCTTGCCTATGATATAGCAGCTTCTCCCAAATCATCTTCTGCATGTTTCCACATATATTTCTAATTCTGTGCTCTGTAACTAGCAGCAGCAGAACAAGTACACAAGGATAATTTCAGGAGCAAAACGTACCTTTTTCTTCTGCTTTACTCCCTTTCACTTTCTTGGCAGCCGTATCTTTTTAGATGGACCCAGAGAGAGTTAGAGCTAGCGGGGATGAGAAGAGAGAGGGAGGGCTGATGGGAGATGCTGTACAAACAGCCCTTTGTTTGTCCTGACTTCTGCCTGTGACTGACGAGCTGTTCTCCAGCAAGGGGTCAGAGGAAGCTCCAACAAGGGGTCAGAGGATGGGGCTTCAAAGAGCCACCTTTTGCAGTCACTGCCAGCCTTGTCTAGGGGCAAAAAAATGAATGTGTTCCTTCTAGAAGGAAACAATTAGTTCATCCCGAATCTGATGCGAAGGTGTCTCCTCACAGAGCAAAGCATAACACTGAGAATGACAGAAGAGGAAATATCCTGTGGAATAACTGTGTCTTGCTTGTCGAGTGTGAGCAGGCTGGAGGGAGCAGGAAGGAACAGACTTCTGGGGTTGCACAGGCAGAAAAATGTGGTTTCTAGACAGATGCCTTATTTTGCATTTGGTGGAGAAGAGCAGACCTACCCAACAATCTCCTGCAAAGCTTTAATTCTTGACTTTAGGATCTTTCAATTTTCTGAACCTGACATAATAAAAAAAATCCTTTCATTATATTAACCTGACTTTTAGTAAAGCATACTCAGTGATGCCATGCGTCCAGTTCTTTACTGAACAAGTGTTTAATCAAGAGGTAAAGTGTTACATTGAACAGTATTTCAGAGGAAGTTATTTTAGACTAATACAACTAATCAAATGATCTGATACCATAAAAACACATAAAGAGATTCTTAAATGGAGTTGAAGTATTATGTATTAATGAGAAAATGGTCTCGAGGGTGAAGCACGTGTCCTCATATTTCTGTTGTAATTTGACCCTCATTCTGTTATAGCCATCCTGGATCTATTTTGTGATGGGAATAGAGAAGTATGATTGTTGAGCTGTAATTCTTACATTTTCTTGTCTACATTATTTTAATTCTGATATTGTGTTGTAAGAGTTTGGTTTTCTCTATCTGTTGGGCTGCTTCCAGTACAGAGGTTTGTTAGGAGTATCTCTACCTCCTTTTTTGTGAGAAGTGCCTCTGCTCAGCTGGCTCAGTTTACAGTTGGATGTCTTGCTGCTTGTTCAATTTGATTTAATGTATGCCAGAAGTGAGCTAGGGCCTCTGTAAGAACTGCATATTCATCTTCTGCTGCCTGAGCAAAGAGGGGAGGCAAATGGCACAGATGTTTAGAAGCAAACCTTTTGAGACTGAACCTGCCTCCTCAAGGTGGTCCCATCCAGCTGGTCCCATCCAGCTGGGTGTTCCCCCTCTCTGCTGGAGATGGGCAACTTAGAGGGCAACGAGCAGGAAGCATGGTTGTACCTCTGCCTCTAATTCAGGTTAGAAACATCAGGAAGGACATTTTTTGCCACTGCTGTTACAGACATAGCAACTTAAGAGGAGAGGGAAGAGATAGCTGCAGGCAGCAGCTGTCAGAACAGGACAACCTTGCCTTTTCAGGGTGACAAAATGCCTGGTGCTGCCTTTGCTTTTCTACATAAATTCTCTGGTGCAGAGCCTGGCCATGGCGGGCCATGCCTTAAATGAGATTATTGTAATGCCTCTGGGAGTACACAGTGTTCCAGGGCAGCATTCTGCTGTGGGAGGAGGCTGTGAGCCTGGTGTAGATGTACAGGGGACTTTCTGTGTGTAAGCAGGGATAAAACTTGGGAGGAGGGAATGAGAACATATTGTGCTGATGCTCTGTTGAATGCCTTTTTAGTTAATTGCAAATAAACTTTGGTGTTAATGATTTGAAGTTTTTATCAGAAGGTGTAATAAAAGTGCATTAGGATTATCCCTTTGCTGTCTATTTAACTTCTCTTGTGTTTTCCAGGAGTATCTGTGTTTCCAGAACACGTTTTGAGAGCCCTGTTTGGACAGCAGTCCAGTGAACTGATAGTTTTGTATATGAAGTGAAGTGTGTGAGGCATAGTTTTCTTCAGGAAACGTCCTACTGCATTTTGAGAAAAGACAGTTCTAACGAAGTTGGTGTTTTGCTGGTGATTTGTTTTTTCTGCTCCCTCCATATTTTCATGTATGATGTTTTCAGTCACTGAAAGCTTTGAGGAACAAGAGGAAATTTTCTCCCTTGTAATGCTGCTTGAGCATAGAGACTGAGAAGCAAACTGGGACTGGGAGGAAGCAAAAGTTGTGGGGAATTTCATCAGGGAAATACAACTCAAGAGGAGGTAGAAGAAGGCTGCTGTAGGAACAGCTGACTCTTTGGGGTGTTAAAAGTGAGGGAGTTTATAGGAAATGCACTGGAAGATGGAGGAGCCTGCAGTGGGAGAAAGCAGTAGCTCCAGATCTTACCTCCTTCCCCCTTTCTCCACTTTACCCCTGACCCATTGCTGTGGATATCTCTTTCTATATTGACTCTGTCTCCCTCCTTGTCTCCAGCCCTGATAGCCTTTTCTTTATTTTTGGTTTCCTTCTGCCTTTCTGCTCCAGCACAGCATCCCCAGTGGGCTCAGCAGCAGTGTCTGGCACAGGCTGGCAGGGTGCCAGCTGTGACAGAGGGCTATTGAAAATTGCAAAGCCTTTTTTTCCCTACCGTGGCATCTGGGAGCTGCAGGAGAACTGTATGGAAATCTTGCTTTTTCACCTTCCTTCATCTGTGTTGACACAGTAATCTTGAAGTGTGTTCGACTCCTTTTATTTAGAGGCACTGTTTTAGATGTACACGTATGCCTGTTTCTGTCTGAAGAGGTATGGCAATATTAGAGGTAAGATGTAAAGTAGAGCTGCTTTGGCTTTTTTTTTTTTTTTTTTTTTCCTTCCCCAGGCTGGAGCCAGCAAGAAGTGATGGCCCATGAGGAGGCAGTGGCAGATGGAGGCAGGAGGGGGTGTGACAAGGTAGCAGCAGCAATCCATAGGAGAAAAGTAGTTTTCAAAGGAGAATAGCCCCTGGTAGGGTGAGACAGAAGAAAGAAAAGGCAGCATTGAAATTCAGCTGCAAAAGCATGGCTGTCTCTGACATACAGCATTACTCGAGACTAAATTTGTGTAACATACTCTTAGAAAATGATGTCTTTCATCTTTTTTTGAAAGTACTCTGTGCACTCTAAATGTGCTTTGCATTCCTAACATGAGCCACACAGGTTTAGCTTTTTGCTGTAAGCAAAAAGCAGTTTGCATCTTGTTTGTGTCCTGGATATCAACACTCAGTTCTTTGCAGACTGATAGTGAGAAATACTGATGCATCTCCACTCATATTAAATCTTCTTAAAAGATACCACTTTACCTTTGAGTCAGATGGCTCATTAATATGTAGAGTGTATATGAGGAGATCTATAAGGAGCCTGATTTTGGCAGATGATGCAGTCTAAAACCTGTACTTGAAGATTATAAAGGAATGTAAGTATTGTAGGGATGCATAAAGACCTTGGAGACTTCATGCCAGTAGTAATGACACCATCAGTGCAGCTAAGATATTAACTGCTGTCATCATTTGTTACAGGATCAAGGGAGTAGGTGCTTTGGACTCAATCATCAACACAATGGATATTTAAGCAAAAATAAAAATCTCATGTGTTTGTTTTGCAAATATACATGTGTAAAACAAATATATCCTATGTTATACCCCTCGTGTAATGTTTTCCATCACTCAAAATTTATGTCAGTCAGAAAAAGTATTTTAAAACAGTTTTTTATACTTTGTGTAATTTTAATTTTGTGTCCTTTGGCTGCTTGATGATTTTTATTTTTTTTTAGAAAATATCTGTGCTGTTAAATACTGTACAATTGCCTTTGCAATTTTTGCATCTGATAACTTGCTTTATACCTTGTACTTGCATTAGCCTGGGGCATTAATCTCAGTTTTCTAGAACACTGTTTGTTGATTGCTCTGTACAGTAGTTCTTGTTCATCCAGCATTTCTTCTGTTTCTTGCCTTTATTGTTTGGCACTGCTTTATTTCCAGTGGCTGTTCTCTGTGGAGTCCCAGAGCCTATCTGTTTCCTCTAATTTTCAGCCTCCTGGTTTTACTGTCAGTTTTCAAAACTTCTTCTGCAGGCTGCAGTCTGTGCTTGGTTAAAATACGCGTCCCAAAGTACTAGGCTAATCAAAGGCATCTTTTAGAGTATTTCCTCAGATCAGTGGTCTGTTGGCATACTCAGGCTGTTGCTGTATTTTTCTATGAAGGCAGAGAAGATGCAGTATATTCAGAACCTGCTGATGTAATGAACTATCAGTTCCAAACAGGCCAAATGAGTCGATGTTCTAAGTGTGTATGTATAAAGTTTGATGTCTCAAGCTGGCAAATGAGTCTGAATGTATTATGGAAAAAATATTCTAAATTGAGAAAATGTTTGCAACCATCAAGCTTATCTGATCCTTGGAAATCCAAGCCTGTTCCGATTCTTTGATTCAGGATGTTACTGGGGTTTGTTTGGGTCTGGTTTTCTACTGTTTTGCTAGGAATTAGCTATTGATACTTAAAGGCATCTGACCTTGAGGATATGGAGCATTCTGCAGCTGCTGAAATTGGTTGGTACCAGGACTCTGATAGAAAACCAAGAGATACCTTTGCTTCTATCACCTGTGCTAGTTTCTCTGCAATTAAAGAAAACAAAAATGAAAATAAACCCAAAAACTTTAAAATTAATTATAAGGTTTAACTTAGTTTTCCTTAATCACCACCACCGAAACCATTATGGCTACTGCACTGACTTTTGAAGTCCTCGACCACAGCACTGCCTTTTGCCTATCCCAGGGTAGCTGTGACTCCACACAAGGCTGCTTGCTGGGCGCTCAGCTCTGGAGCCCTACAGTGAAACTGTAAAGGCTTATCCAGCCTTCAGAATTTCATTCCTGCTGCCCATCCATGTGAGCACCAGCAGTACAGCCAGCAGAGACCTGAAAGCTATCAAGTGTGACTGCATGAGGCAAAAACATCTTTGCCAACAGGTTGACCAACCTAAGGAGGAGAACTTTAAAAAGGAATAACAGGGGAGGAAGATGGCAGCCCACAACCGAATGAGGAAGTGGTGGCAATCTCAAGAAGCTTGCAAAAGAATCAGGAGCAGAGAGAGGAGACCATGCATTTAATGGTTAGGCTGCCACT